TGTGCAGAGAGTATTGATCGATCCAAGAAGCTCCTCTGAGATCAGGTACATGGACCTCTTTCATAAGCTCAGACTCAAACAAGAGGATCTCAAGCTGGTTAATACCCCGTTGGTCAGTTTCAACAAAAAAAACTATCCTCCCAAAGGGAAAATCACACTTTCGGTGAAAAATGGGTCTGTTGGGGTCATGACCGAATTTCTAGTAGTGGATACGACCTTAGCATACAATGTTATTATGGGTCGAACTTGGTTACACAAGATGAAGGCAGTACCTTCAATGTACCACCAGATGCTTAGATTCCACTCAGTAAAGGGAATAGTCCACATTCATGGTGACCAGGTAAGTTCAAGGACTTGTTTGTTGTTATCGATAAAAGGAAGAGATGGTGGAGATGGGCGAGACAGAGGTTCAGCTCCTAAAACTTCGAAATACCAATCAAACCTCAATAGGTCGGTTGATAAGGATGAGGATATGACTGACCAAATTATCGAGGTCGAGCCCAAAGTACCTTTAGGCATGGAACAGGAGCTAACCAGCCGAACCACATAAAATTTTAATAAGGTACCATTAGACCGAGTAGAGGAAACAATCGACCGAACTATCAAGGACTTGTCTAAAGTACCTTTAGACAAAAAGGCCCCACCTGACCGAATCGTTGAGGATCTGTCTAAAGTATCCTTAGGTAGAGAGGAGTCGATCGACCGAACTATAGAAGACTTGTCTAAAGTACCTTTAGACAAGGATGAAGAGAAGTATTTTCTTTTGGGCACTTCCCTAAGCCTCGAGCAGCGTGACAACATATGAAATGCCAGGTGTCCCACCTGAAGTGGCATGTCATCAATGAAATGTTGACCCTAGCTTTAAGCCAGAGAAATAAAAGCTTAAGAGGTCAGCGCCACAACACCAGGAAACGGTAATGGAAGAAGTGGCATGATTGCTAGAGTCATGGACCATTAGGGAGGTTCAATATCTAACCTAGTTGTCCAATACTATGGTGGTCAAGAAAAAGAACAAGAAGTGGAGGGTTTGTGTTGATTTTACCAACCTCAACAAAACATGTCTGAAAGATAGTTTCCCTCTACCGAAGATAGACCAACTAATTGACGCAACTGCTGGTCATGAACAAATGTGTTTCTTGGATGCATACAAAAGTTATCATCAAATCCCCCTGTGCTGAGCAGGATCAATAAAAAACCTATTTTATAACACCTGAAGGGGCTTATTGCTATAAGGTAGTGAAGAACGCATGAGCAACTTATCAGAGACTGGTGACGAAGATGTTCTCCCATATGTTGGGCACCACCATGGAGGTCTACATTAATGATATGGTAGTGAAGATTCGAAGCGTCGCCAATCATTGCTCTGACTTGAGAAACAACTTTGACATACTTCGGAAGTACATAATGAAACTCAATGCCTCAAAATGTGCATTTGGGGTGGGCTCTAGGAAGTTCCTTGGGTTTCTGATTACCCACAGGGGAGTCGAGGTGAATCCCGACCAAGCAAGGGCGATAACATAACTTCAATCACCCAAAACAGTGAAAGAAATGCAAAGGCTAACAGGAATGGCAGCCACATTGGGATCCAAAGAAACAATTACCTTTCCAACTGAGGATTGAGTTTTCTGCCAATTAGGTAATGAGAGACTCGTATAGTACATAAGTAGCAGCATCATCTAAGCGATTTTGAATCTTTATGTTAGCATATATGATAAGAGTGGATGAGATTTGTTTAATTCTTCACTCTTTTTGCTACAGGATGTTTAGAGTTATGTCAACTACTCTCTCGAGTTCAGATATTAGCCATCGTAACTCGAACACTTTTAGAACATGTCTCTGGACGAATAAGGGTGTCTGACCCTTAGGGGATATTAGAAGTGTTGAACCTGAAATGTCTAGGTTACTAGATGCTAGGCTTAGTCACTGAATCACCCCTAAGGCTTGAGATTTATTTAATTCAATAGCTCAAAATTATCCCCAAAAAATCCCCCCTCCCCCAACCTGCACTTGAAAATTCCAATTAGTCCATAAATTTTCATACTAATCAAGGCTAGATTAAGTCTTCTATCTCATATCTATTTATTTTCTCTTTATTAGGGATACTGAATAATTTATTTTTTGATGCAATATTCTAAGAAGGGCTTGCTAAATTTTAATCTTAATTTTTGATCAATGTTATTTTTTAATTATCAATTTTTTTTGTATTAAATTATTTATTTACCAGCGGTCAAGATTGATTCAATTTTCATTAATCTAATGACACAAATTTTATCCCCAAATTTATTTTTTTGTATAAAGAAATCATCTTCTCTATACGACTTCCAATATCAGACTACTCAATCGATACACTTTTTAATATTATACAATCTCATTAATTTACACCTACCTCTCTCGTATTTTCTCCATGTTCACTTTAATTTTAAATTGTGTAATTAAAAAAATTATTATTTAAAATATAAATCTTAGACGATCAATGTTCGATTTTTGGTATTACAAAGTCTCTTCAGACAGAGAGTTATTGTTAAGATAGCTAGCATTTTAAATTTTATCCCACATATTTTTCTCTCACATTTCTATCACATCATTCATTTATATCACATGTTGAATTATTTAATTTTTAGTTAATTTGTGTTTTAATATAATTTTTATTTCAGACATTATTCATATATGAAAGTGTACACGTGTTGCTAATTTCTTGAGTTCATGTATTTTAATAAAATTTTGATAAATTTTTTAAAAATTATTGTTATTTGATAGAGGGATCAATTTTTCTACACTTAAATTTTATAGCTAGTCATTGCACATGTTATAGTTAGTCATTCCATAATTCTTGTAGAACATCTATATTCTATATAATAAAACAAGACTTCGAAATTTTATCTCTACACATTTTCCCCCCAAAATCCATCCCATCATTCCTCTGTCAGACACTGAATTCTTTTCTTTGATTTGGATTGTTATTCAAATTGCGAATTTGAGTTGATTTGAACTCCGTGTGTTTGTAATATTGCTTCAATGAGGTGGATTTGTCTATTTATTTGATTTTTCACTAATTGTTCATCTCTCTAATTTTTATTTTTCTGTCCATATTTTTCACTTTCATTTTCAATCTATTCAGTTTATTTTTCCATTTTTAGGTGGGTGATGTTAGTGTTAAGTTGGTTTGGCGTAATTGAAATTTAGTGTAGAATATAAATAATGTTTCTTATTGCCTATTCTCTTCAATTACGACTGGTTTGAGAAAAATAGTATTTGTATCAATTGAAATAATTATTGCTTCAAACTAATAAAATGTTTGTTGTATTGCTTCAGTGATGTTATTGTTATGATCAACTTAATCTTCAAATATTAAAGGAATGTTGTATTCCAATTTGGGTCTGTTTTAATTTATTATTTCACTTTATTTAATTTCAGGTATGCCACTAATAATCGAATTTTATTTGTTTATTGGGTTGACATTTGATGCTTATTTATTTTTTGGATTGTGCAATAGATGATCAAAAGTTTACAGGTAAAGCCGTGGATTATGCAAGGGATTTTTTATTTTGAACATTCATGATGTCAATTTATGAATTAATTTATTGGGAGTTGCAGCATTAGTTGAAATTTGGTTATAATTATATGAAATTAGTTTAAATTCATTAATGCTTTAATTTGTTCTTATGATTTGCTCATGGTCCTTATCTACTAGGAAATATTTTTTTTCTTCTAAATAGATCTATTTGTTGTTGTTTGCATACCCTACTTCTCAACCAAAGCAGCCTAATTGACCAAACATATAAGAGGAAAACATACATAAGACTGAGAGATGGCCCCACTCTTGAATGAAGAAGATTAAGGCAAAAGAGAACTTCTTTAGTGACTCTTCTCATGAGCAACTGATTTGTATGATATGGTGAATTATTTTTCCTTTCTATGGTTCATGTATTTTCATATTAACTTTGATTTTTTGTTTTGGAATTAGGATAAAACTGCATTTTAAGGTTTCCTTCAAGAATGTGGTATCAAAAACTTTGTGTATGCCCTGAATTGTTGAAGGGGCTTTTTGGATATTGGAGTCGATTCGTCTTCTTCACAACATTGTTTCATCTAGCAAATGCATGTTACATCAACTGTTCATTTAAAGAACATATATAATGAAATAATGTTATGTTGTATAAGTTGATTTTATAGCTGAATTTTCTTAATTCTATAACTCATTCTCTCTATTTTCTCGATTTTTATAAACTGGATTCTCAATACTGGATTTTTATAAACTTGGATAGCTAAATTTGAGGAATTACCCATAAATCTAGCAAATATAATTTTTGAAAATCTCTTTTAGTCGACTTTGAGTAAATCTTTTTGAACAGTACTATGAGTTATAATTAGGTATATAGTTTCAATCATATTAATTTTACGGGTTTTCAGTTTAAATTTATGAAACTTTAGTAAAACTAGGTCTTCTTTATCTCTTCATTGAAATTTATCTTTGCAATAGTCTTTATATAAGTAATACTTTGTTAAGAATATATGTAAAGTGCGGGGATATTAAGAATGTAGTTTAGGCAATGGGTGATTTGGTTGAGCTTAATGCGTGTCTTTGTTCATTGTTTGATTTTTTTTTTTGTATCCACGATCAATATTCAATTTTTTTAAATTGTACAGTACCCGGCTTATCGCTAGTCAAGAAATATGCGAGAATGGATCTGTTATAAAGTAAGTTAGAGAGAGAGAGAGCATGAAGTTGCAAAACAAGGAATATTAAATCTAGAAATATGCAAAACTTGTTAACCTGATACGTTACAAGCACAAAAATTAGCGAACTCTTATAAATACAAGAAAAGGAAAATTAAAACCAAAAGGAAATGCATCTGACATTGACACGTGCCACTAAATGTGCTTAAAAGGTGGAATATATATGGAGTCTGGACACTGTGATCCGAGCAGAAATGCATCTGGGTCAACTATTATACAACCGGCCAAGGAGATAAAAATGTGGAAAGAAATATAAACTGACATCAAGTTCTTTCGACTGAAGTGAGATGAGCCATCTGGTTTGCAAGATTATCTACATTGTTCATGTTCCACCAAAATCTTCGGCTATCTACAGGCTTACTTTCACCCTTTATCCCATTATTGTCTCTTCTTTCGGATTGAACTTCCTGTGTATCAGAGCCACCAGGATTCTCTGTCAAAAACTGTTGCCAGAAAGACATCGTTAACCTCCATTATGACAGCTGGAGCAGTTGTACCCTCGACCGGGTCACAGCCAAACTTTTTTTACTAATCCCATGTAGAAAATCCTCCCAGAAATTGAAGTATGACAACTTCTCAATTAGCTCTAAATTTGACAATAGGGTGGATGTAGCATGTGGATCTTCTTTTGCAATGTCACAATCTGATACTCACATATTGACTTCATCATTAAAGTACTTACATACCAACAACCTTCCCTTTTTGCTATTATACAACCGGTCAAGGAGATATAAATGTGGAAAGAAATATAAACTGACATCAAGTTCTTTCGACTCAAGTGAGATGAGCCATCTGGTCTGCAAGATTATCTACATTGTTCATGTTCCACCAAAATCTTCGGCTATCTAAAGACTTACTTTCACTCTTTATCCCATTAATGTCTCTTCTTTCGGATTGAACTTCCTGAGTATCAGAGGCACCAGGATTCTCTGTCAAAAACTGTTGCCAGAAGACATCATTAACCTCCATTATGACAGCTGGAGCTGTTGTACCCTCGACCGGGTCTTTTAATGCGTCAACGTCCAGAACATTATCAGGCCTTATATTTACATCAATCCCCAAAGATTTGGGTTTAGCATCTTCATTGAGATACATAGATGAAATGGCAGGGCTGTCTGAATAATTCGAAGATCCAGCCGCTTCTAAGGATGATTGAATATCCCTTGATTGAGGTGAAGAGGGAATTCCATCAGGTTCACATGGTTGGATGTTCATATCAGAATCTCCTGATGAAGCATGCATTTCAGTTATAACAACTGGGGAAGGCTGCGGATACACTTCATCAGCCGAAGTTTTTTTACCAACCCCATGTAGAAAATTCTCCAAGAAATTTAAGGATGAGTCCAACTTCTCGATTAGCTCTAAATTTGACAATGGGGTGGATGTAGCATGTGGATTGTCTTTTTCAAACGTCACAATCTGATACTCACCCATATTGACTTCATCATTAAAGTACTTAGATACCAACAACCTTCTCTTTTTGCTATTGATTTCTGACTGTTGCATAAGAATGGAGGCAAACCCCGGTTTTTTCAACATTTGAGATAGGAAGGCCGACAATTTCCTCTGTCTCTGTTCCACACTCTGTAAACGCTCAGCCAACAAGATAACTTGATTTTCCTTTTCATGCTTCTGTAACTCCAACTGAAGTAAGCTCTTATCCCGTTTCAGCCTCTGAATTTCCTCCTCAAACTCACGTCTCTCTGAATCAGTTAATGGCCCTGAAGAATTCCCTTGTGCAGAATGGCTATGGATTGGCTTACGTCGATGAATATTCTTTAACAGATGTCTCTGTCCTCTAATGAATTCCTCATTTCCAAATTCCCACTGATCAGGATCAATCTTTCTAAATCCCTAGACAACACAAGACAATTGAACAAAAGAAATCAAATCGAGGGCAAAAAAAACACTTTTGTCAACTGGCAAATTACTCAAAATAGTTTTGTTAGATGATATGCTCTATGATGTATTAACCAATAATGTGCATCATTATGCACAATCAAAAGGGGAGAACCCTATGCGTGGAGACAATAAGACTTAAATCCAAGATATTGTGGATACATAGATCTCATACCATGTTAAAGCATGAAATGCAGAGCTAATTAACAAGTGGAGATTTCGTCAGGTTTGTGTATTAGAGACATAAATTATACTAATGTAGGATAAACTCAACACTCCCAAGCATCTGTGCAACCAAACTTGCGCATGGAGAGAGAGAAAAAACTACTAGACTTTAAAACCGGTGTAAATTTGAACTTTTCACAAAAAAGGGCAAAATAATAATTTGCTTCTATGGGACGGGTTAAAAACCTGATTTTTTCTAGAACTCGGATGACCAAACGAACTTCACCGTTGGATTCATCTCACGAAATCTAGTTATCCCGTCAATTTTCATCGAATTCTGAGATAGTCGAATTTTTCGGATTTTACGAGTCGGTCGAGTCACGGGTGACCAAAAACGAAATTTTAATAAAAATTTAACAGTTGAAAAATAATTTAAGGCAAGTTAAAATAAAAATATTTTGAACTTAAATTGGAACAAAATTTAATAGTGTTGGGGCAAAAACGGACCAGGGGAGAAGAAGGTTGTGTGGTACGTTGTGGACCAAGTGTTTTGGGAGTATAAAAAGGGGAGAAATATCAAATTTCTCCCCATTTGTTCAGCCGTTCACCCGATAGAGAGAAGAGAGAAAAGCTTGGGTTCTCCACTTCTCTCTACGATCTACGGACCTCGGGCGCCCAAATGAACTCTAGCCAAGAATTAAAGTCGATATCCTCGACGAGAGCTACGCGGCTATACCAAAAAGCGGGAGTTTTATCGAAGATCAAAGAACGAAATTTTTGGAAGCAAGTGATTCTAGCTCGTTTTTGGTATTCTTAAAGGTTCTACTATTAGTTTTACGCTTTAAGAGGTAGAGTTCTTTTTTACTTTCGTTTATTTTCTAACCCAGGGTGTTATATGAGATGGGTAGGTTGTTAGAGACTTGACACTTACCAATATTTGTGAAATTGATGTAATAGGTATTGAAAATGGGAAGGAAAATGGGTATTGAAATGATTTGAAATAAATTTTCTAGCTTGGAATTTGATATTATGTGGACATGTTATGTGTTTATATTATATCTTTGTGATTGAAGTGTGTTATGGGTACGTATTATGTAATAACATGTTTCGGATATATTGTTTGATATTAAATGTTGATGTACGTTTATTGACACATTAACATTGTGATAAAGTTTGGTGATTATATGCATATGATATAATTGACCATAAATTTTGTAGAAATGTAATTAAACTTGCTCATGTGGCATTCATTACATATGGGCATGACACTAATATAGCAATAATGCATTACATTGCATTTGTACGGAGGAACCACATCTCTAGCCATGAGTGTGGGTGTGTGGGTGCATGGTTGACATCAAACACGACATAGGTGGATAATAGGTGGGCTCGGAAAAGTTAGATCGAAGATCCGACTGAGTTGCACGGTTGCATGAAAAAAGAATTGGACCGGGGTTAGCAAGAAGGGCTAGACTATCCCTCGGGTGAGAGGCCCGGTGATCAGATACGCACTCCGTTGGTATAAGAGCCCATAAAGTGTGTCGGTGTACGCAGAACCGTTGGTGGAAGTCCATAAATTCCGTGTTGGTTTGGCGCCATTGTAGTCATTGGGTGTGTAACGCCAATGGCGGAAACTTGGAAAGCCCCGTTTTATACTCATAGCACTGCATGGGTGAGAGGAACCAGGAAGACTCAGGTTGAGTTGCATAAGTAGGTGTCATCTCATATCATGGCATGACTTGTTAGATTCTAACATAGACTTGCTTGATCTGGATTGGAACGGTTGTTGTTTGTTAAATATTGCATGAACTTTTCATATGTACTTGGGTTGGGGAGTAAACTTTATAGAAAATATTCTATTGGGCGTGGCTCACCCTATACGGGAATATATTTTAGATGCGGAATACATGCCGTAAGAAAGTCCTCGCATGAGACCTCAAGGATGAAGAAAACCGGGATGTGACTTTATTTTGAATTTTTGTAAATGATTTTGAAAACTTTATTTTTGATATGTAAATTTATGGAATTGAATGTAATAGAGTTGATATGGACATTATGTAATATGAAAATCTTCATATACATGTGTTGGATGGAAATAATATGTCTTGAAATGAATTGGAAATGAAAAACAAGTGAAATAGGCAAATCTAGGCAAGACCTACCGGTAGATCACTGTCCAGTGGACAACACCTACCGGTAGGATCGCGTACAGGCAGAACTTTGTTTATCAGGCAGGGCCTATCGGTAGGACTTTTTCAGTAGACAAAATCTACCGCTAGGTCCTCCAAAAATCTAAAAATTTAAGACTGCCTTGCCATGCTTTTGAACCATGGATTCTTTGGTTCCAAGGATATAAATGGACATCAAATGAGGATAAATAGTGGTAAATTGAATCTTGGTTGGTCAAATGATATAATGTACACGGGTTACACGTGTAGGTGATGATCCTGGTTAAGGGGGTGCTATTGATTTGATGTCGGGTTGTGCGACAATCACGGAAACTTCCGCGGGTTGATGGGTGGTCCACTGTTGAAAAAAGAACCTCCGTTTTAGACACATCATAGCTTGGTATCAGAGCCTAGGTATTTGATTTTCCTAGGGCTTGATAAGGCATTCATTGTGCATTACATGTTATGTGCTTTAACATGATATATGTTATGTGTTATATGTTATGTGAATGATATACATAGTAAAATGTATATGAAAAAGAGACACTAAGGTTAGAAAACATAACCTTGGGGGTCGAAAAATAAAAGGACGGGATAGTTCAAGGTGTAAATGTTTACTAGTAGGTGGTATAAACTCTACTAGGGAGATAAGGTGAGGAAACTCAAGGTTTCAAAGTTGGTCCCTACTTTGGGATACTAAATTGGTGCTCTATTGCTGTCTTACATGTGTGTAGATGGTAAGAAGAGAAAGAGGACGCCGAGACGGTAGGCGGAAAAACAATCAACCACCACCGACCTTTCGACCAACAAGCCTTTATGGAGGCTATTGGTACTGCGGTTGATACTATTGCACATGCTAGTGTAAGTGTGGGACAAGGAGGTTAGAGTAACCTCCAGAGGTTCAAGGCACACAAGCCTCCAATTTTTAAGAGAACGGCGGATCCGATAGTAGTCGACCATTGGTTCCGGCAAGTTGACAAAATTTTAGAGACAATGGAGATCATCTCCGATGCCACGAAGATAAGGCTAGCTGCGTTCCAGTTAGAGGGAGAAACCCAACTGTGGTGGGATTAGACAAAGGACTCCAAGAACTTAGAGGAGATGACATGGGAAGAGTTCTGGGAGCTCTTCATGGGCAAGTACTTTCCCGCAGCTGTTCGACATGCTAAAGCCCAGGAATTCTTGGATTTGAAACAAGAAACCATAACGGTGATGGAATGCGTGGTTAAGTTCACTGAGTTAGCCCGTTTTACCGATGATTACGTGGCCACGGATATGGCCAAAGTAAGGAAGTTTGAGGATGGGTTGAAATTATCTATCGGAAAAAAAATTGTGGGTCTTCGCCTACAAGACTTGGACTCGATAGTCAAGACAACTATGGCCATTGAGAGAGATGTTGATGATGCAAGGAGCATCCAGGAGTTGGGTGCTAAGGACAAGAAGAAGGAGGGTCAATCCTCTTCTTCTAGCTCGGGAAAGAGCCAGAGGACTTTCACTCAGGGACAACAAGGACAGGGTCGCGGCTATCAAAGCCAAGATCAAGGTCAATCCTCCAAAGGCGGGAGAAATCAGAGGTCTTCCTACCAGGCATGCCAAAGGAATTGCTATCATTGCAACCAACCGGGGCATATGAAGCAGGATTGTCCTCAGCGGCAGGGATCTCAGAGTTATGGGGCGTCTCAGTCTCAATCGTCGGTGGGGCACACACAAACTCACTTTGTTCCTCCCTATCCCACCATGGGCTAGGGAAGTCAATACCAGTTCCAGGGTGCTACTTAGGCCCCTACCACTTCACGAAAAGGGACTCCGCAATCAGGCTAGATGGGCTAGGGCATGGGTCAAGGCCGAGGACAAGGCATGCAGGCCAAGACTTCGGGGATTCAGGGGTGTGTCTATGCCATCACACCTCAAACTGAGCCAGTAGATCAGTCAGTCATCCAGGGTACATTTCTACTCTCTCGCTTATGGGCTAGAGTGTTATTTGGCTCTAGTGCATCGCATTCATTCATATCTACATCATGTGTGAGGGATATGGACTTAGAGATTGATACCTTGGAAGTGCCATTGTATGTAAATTTACCCCTAGGAGCTAGGGTGTGTGTTGATCAGATATGTCGGGATTGTGAGTTAGAGATCTCGAGAATTCCATTCACCGTAGACCTTAGGGTCATGAACATGTCAAAATTTGATATCATCCTTGGGATGGATTGGTTGGCGGCACATCGCGTCGTCATCGATTGTGACCGAATGGTGTTAGTTTCAAGTTTCAGGGGAAAAAACACGATGTCTTACCCCAAGCCGTGTATGATTCCAAATAGTATAGGCAGTTGATGGGATGGCTTGCGAGCCTTACTTTGGAGGATGAGGTGAGACAAGAGTTGGGTCTACCTCGGGTTGTCTGTGAGTATGAGGACATTTTTTCAGATAAGCTACCAGGATTACCCCTACATAGGGATGTGGACTTTAGCATCAAGTTGCATCCCAGCACATCGCCTATTTCTATGACTCCACATAGAATGACACTGGTAGAGTTACAAGAACTCAAGGTCCAATTGCAAGAATTGTTAGACAAGGGTTTTATTAGACCGAGCAATTCACCTTGGAGCGCTTCGGTGATATTTGCCAAGAAGAAGGACAAAACCCTTCAGTTGTGTATAGATTATCAGCAATTGAACCTGGTTACTATCAACAATAGATACCCTTTGCCGAGGATTGACGATTTATTTGATCAGTTGGGGGGAGTGCGGGTCTACTCCAAGATAGATCTTCGTACTAGTGACCATCAGTTGAGGGTTAGGGAGACAGATCTCCCTAAGACGGTATTCAGAACGCGGTATGGACATTT